GAACCAGGGTTAATACCCCAAAAAACCGGCTAAAAACCATTCATCCTACACAGAAAAAAACCAGCAAGAAAAAATAAATAAAATCATATAACCAGCAAGAAAAAAATAAACAAACCATGTAACCAGGAGGGGCAAAAACACAGCAATGAACCTAAAAAATAAAGACATACTCTTGCTGCGCATTTGGGAGTTTTCTTGTTTGAGCATCCCCAGGAAAGAAAGAAAAAAAATACGAAAAATAAATATAAATTCTCTCTGTAGATTTTGGATTAATTTTCTCTGAGTTTAACCAAAAAAAAAAAAAATCTTTTTTGTAAATTTGGGGGTTATGAGAGTTTAACAATATACAAAAAATAAAAATAAAAAAACTCACCGTATTTTTATGAGTGGGGAAGATGAAGGAACGCGAGGGTCGAGCTTGCGTGAGAGGCGGCAACTTTTCTTTTTAGGGTAACAGTGATGGAGGAAGTATAGGAGTTCCGACTTTCTGAGTTTTAGGGCGCGTTTGGTACCTGGAATCCGGAGTTTTCTGGACTCCTGAAGTTCGATATATTAATGTCTAGAATCAATAAATATTGTATTATAAAGACCCTGTTTCTATGCGGCCCCGCATATGTAGAATGCATGCCTTTTGATTTAAGACATAATTTTTAAAGACAAGTAATCTCTAACAGGGATATCATGAATATAGAAAAAAAAAAAAAAAAAATTAAAAACTAGAAATAATAATTTTAATAAGAAAATATTTGGACTGTTAATTTCTATTGTTTTTAAATAAAACACCTACTTGCATCCATCTTTAAGATTGATGCTTTACGCTTTCTAGGCTATTATAAATGCCATCCTGCCGACATGAAACAATTTTCCTATATTAATGTCTAAAAGATTTCTAACCAATCATTAAAGATTTCTTCATGACATGGTCGCATGATTACAAGTACCAAAACTACTACTTGCATATAGGGATGGTCGAAAGTGGTGGTATCCTCCTTATGGGGATAAAGAACTTCCAATTGATATATTGTAACATTTCCGGTTATCAAACACAAAAGTGCTATAAAAAGGAGATACCTCCACGTCCATAATACTACGTTTCATAAATTAAACACACGACACTATTCTCAAACTAGGGGCTTTCCCATGTTTTCTCTGTTATCAAACACCATCTTGTTCTTATACTGTACAAGTAACACACACATCTAAAATTTGCAAGAAAAGGTAGTTCCAATGCAAGGGGGACTTTACAATGGCTTGAAAAACCACATTCAACCCTAAATGTAAAATTAAAAATTGTTATACAAATCTATTCATTGTTCTAAAACTAGGGGTTTTCTCATGTTTTTTCAGTTATGGAACACTATATAAGGTTTGTATAAGGCACCCATCTTATACTATACAAGTAATGTGCACCGCTAAAATTTGCAAGAAGAGGTAGTTCCAGTGCAAGGGGAACTTTCCCATTGCTTAAAAATACACATTAGAGTATTAGACCATTAAATGCAAAAATTAATCTTTTAAAAGATTATGCAAATCAAGCAAATATATAAATACTTGAAAATAAGTCATCTAAATAACTTCTTACAAGCACTGTTTTTAGGTCTTGAATTTTTTTTTCTCTTTTTTTATATCCATACATTTGTAGGTCGAAATGATCAATTAGAAGCTTTTTTAAAACAACATCGGATGCAAAATCTGATAGCTTGGATATGACACAAAGTTCAAGAAAAATTTTTCTGAAGTTTGAATATGGTCAATACAATAAATGTAATTATCTAATTTCACATCTAATGGTCAATATTAATTGTGTCTACCTTATACCAAATATATACTTTTTATTAATTTATTGTTATAAATTGAAAATTCTCCATTTTACTTTAATTCATGGGTTACTAATCGTCCTCTTAACAAATTCCCCTGAAAATTTTCACATATCGGCCCTTCTATGAAATTCGCTTTTTTTAAGGTAAATTCATAGTAATCACATAGTTTGTCAAATTTTTCTTGCAATCCATAATTTTTTGCCCCAGTTTGTTATCACTATTTGGATCAGAATCAATAGAGGACCCATTTTGTTGCTCACAGCTCTCTCTCTCTCTCTCTCTCTCTCTCTTTCTCTCTTAAGTGCAACTATTGTTCGATCTTTTGAGATACGATTGTATTTGCTCTCTCTCTCTCTTAAGTGCAACTATTGTTCGATCTTTTGAGATACGATTGTATTTGCATTACACTGGTTCATGATAAAAAATTTGTACCCTCTCCCTTAGTTTTAAATTTTAGAAAGTTAAAAATATCAAATATAATGAAATAAGGCCGCTACTATGAATGAGATCTTGGTGGTTTGTGCGACAATAGTACCAATCAAGACGTCTTGAGCAGAAAACCCCATCTCAAATCCACACACCGGGTGCCGCTCAAGACGTCTAAAATTCCATTCCTACCATGAGTAGAGAACCCCATCTTAGGTCCACACACTCCACCACCACCACCCCCACCCGCACCCCCAACCCCACCCCAAAAAAACTACAATATTGATATTCAAAACTTCTGCCAAACAACCACGAAAATTATCAATATGTGACCGTATGATGAAATTGTGATTTCGGAAAGTACATCATAGTGCAGTCTTTAATGGTCAAATTTTGAATCCTTTTGCTTAATTTGCTGCAACATCTCATAAAACTCTAAAACCACATATCATCGACATAGCGTCCCAAATGAAGAGCCAAATAACATTACAAATCATGTTATGAAAGAAAAAAAATCTAAAAAATCTAAAAAATTGATCCTTTTTTTTTTTAATAAATCAAATTAGGAATGCTGCTTGCCGATTCAGCGACTATTTAACCACACAATCATGAATTTACAAGGATTAGTTTGGATGCCAACCCAACCATCGTTTTGCACAGCAAGGGCGGGTCTTATCAAGATTATATGTTTTTCTAAATAAAGTTACTTTATTTTGACAAAAAATTAAGGGGAACTATATATATAAATGTTATCCTTATTTTTTGAACAAAATTTTGGCAACAAAATTGAAGGGTTGTTTGAAGATACACCTAAAAGGATCAGTTAAAAGCCTACTATTCATTTGATTAGGCCTAGCCTTAATCGCAATATTACGCTCATTAATATCAGACTCGTAAAAATATGTTCTTTTCTGTTTCAAAAAGCATGTAAATTTTTTGCATATACTTCGTTTTCAAGCGTAGTTTGAAAATACTGATATCCTTTTGGAGTTTTGGAGCAAGCAGTTTTTCTTCAATATGGCACTAAAGCTTTTGAAATGGCACTAAAGTTTTTGTTGTGAAAGAGAGTTTTCTCTCTCCGAAAAGGATAAAAATCTAGAGAGAAATTGGCTACTTTCCATGTCATCCAAATCACATGAGTTTCAACCTCTTGCCATATTTTCGTGATCTCCATCAATCTGGTAAGGATCAACAATGGGGTTGGTACATTATATCTATAGCACTTTCCGACAGTATATGAGAAGCTACAATCAATGCACGAATTGAAAACCAATTTTGAGCAAATTTGTGCCCAAAACTGAATGACAACTAGTTTTAGACTTTGATCCAATTAAAAGGCTCATAATTCGCCTAATAAAGGGTGCTTTTGGTCCATTCTTGAACCGGACCGTTCGTAAGATCGGTATACATCTCCTATCGGTCATGGATTATCAATAAATCAACAAAAACTTCTCGGAAAATTAATTAAAAACAAAAGTTTACGCACTAAAGGATTTTGTTGATTTTTTAATCGATGCACGAGCATTGATCCAGAACTCCCTCGATTTCAAATCATTTGTATAACCAAACCAATCCTTTTTTTGCATATACCCAAGTAGATGAAAGAACGCACAAAAATGCAGTGTTGTGAAAAAAAAAAAAACTGAAAACAAAAATTTTGGCCAAGCATTCCTACTCTTCGTATGAGAACTTATTTTTGCAACTTCCTCATTTGTGTAGAGAAACTCATAATCCTCTGAGAAGAAGTGTAGTAGTAGTTCAAACTACTGTGAGACTGGGAAAGGTGTGCCTTTTCTTATTATGCCCTGATCCCAAGTGTTTCTTTTCCATTGTTTAGATCGTGTGAGAATCTCTCAGGAAGAACACAATCGATCAAGCAGAAGAGCTCTTCTTTCACATTCGTGTGAGGACCAAGCAAAAGGCGGCTGTCAATGTTTGCCCAGCTCCATGGAATTAAGGGCGTTCGCCACACTAACTCTCGGTGGGTGAAGGCGCAGAATGAGGCATGCCCGTGCTCAACATATTTATTCCTCTTTTAATCAACTTCGGGTGACCGGGGAAAAGGGATTGCGAGAGGAAATGGGGAGGCATAGGGAACTGTACGTCTCCAATGAACTAAGAAGAGCATGGTTAGGTTTGGAGGCCTGCCAAAATTCTTCAATCAATTTGGAAACAAGAAGAGATTGTTGCTTATAGAAAAAGTTCAAAGAGGTACTATCCCACTTCCAAAATGCGGCATTTTGTTGATTTCCGCATTGATCAAAATGCAAGTTCCATCCAAACTGGGGGGTTAAGACAACCATAAACATGATAAAAGTGAACCAACACCCGTTTTGAAGCCCACAGATTAGCCAAGAAAACACATGAAATGGACCTTGCTTAAACACAAGCTTTTAAAATTTCAATCTCAAATGTGGTCTTGATCGCGCCTTCATAAACCGTACTTGAATTTCAGGATCAACTTTCGTAGCAAAAAAAAATTTGGGGGCAAGCGAGAGAGATCAGGTAATTGCAAGGCCTAACAGCCACAACGTTGCATCCAACAGCTTCGATCCCAATATAAACACACACAAACACACAATTTATACACACACACACAAAGCCAGAGAGAGAGAGAGAGATCCAATTCATTCAGGGAAAACAGGCTTTGTCAATTTCTGTGTGAGACAGAGGAGCAGGCTTCGTCGGGGTCTCCCTCTTGAGTCTCGACTATAGCCTCTCAAATTCAAGTTACACGACACTGACTCAGCTATAATTTATCGTTATCCTAAAAAATGACCTATAATTAGATCACATCTCTAAAATTTTCTTTCCAAAGGAAGAAATAATGTATAAGGCCAAGAGAACAAAAAGAACAGCGGAAAAAAGGAAAGTCGGGAATGGGGAAGCCGGCCTTTATGTATAGAAGTTTGAATTTAATTTTCTCGCTGTCACAATACATGCGTTTGAGGAGAGATGCTTGTAGCTGCGGCTTTGAGTAAAGGTTCCCGAATATGCTTCAAATTAACTCAAGGCAATACAAAAAACTCGAGCTTCTTCTAGTCAAAGAATGGCCGCCCAGAAACACAAAGAAAAAGACAAAGAGAGGGGGAAAGAAGGGTACCAGAATCTGATACCGGTTTCAGAAATCTCCAACAGAGAAACCAAATCCAAATTTATAATCTTTCTTCCAATGATCGATCTGCAAAGCTCCCAAAACAACATGAGAAACAATGAGAGAGAGAGAGAGATACATAGACAATCCCCAGGAGGGGGAGGGGGACGGGTGAGAGAGAGTATAGAAAGCAAATTGCACTCACCTCTGCTGAGAGCATAAAATTAATTCCACTACTTAATCTCTCCTCCAAAAGGGCACCAAAGCACCAATTCGAATCGAACTTCCCTCGAAGACGAGCCTGGCATATCAAACAGTCATAATATTACTATTAAATCATAGAATTATTTCTCATTTAGACGGAACAATCAAGAACAAAATAATGGACACTAATCTCCTCCTCCTCCTCTCTCTCTCTCTCTCTCATGCACGCACATGCATGTGACTGCATGCATGTGTGTATCTGTAACTAGTCTCTTTTTAACTCTTTTAAGCAAGACAGGAATATCTGTCATCAAAAAAAAAAAAGCAAGACAGGAATATCAGCACCCTCAACAAAATAACTTGATAAATTCTGCTTTTCTCAAGGGTGTGACTAATGAGCAGGTAAAATCACACGTAAATGGTTAAATGGTTCATCAAGGCAAAATATAGCAGAAGGCATTACCATTCGGAAAAAATAATCATAACCAACAGTGGCAAGGACATCTTTCGACATAGAGTTGTACACGAACTCAGTTGCTAAAGAAACCTGCAAGCATTGTCATCTATACATAAAAAACTCTTAAATACTAATTTCAAGTTCTATTTGAAGCCTTCTTTTTGCATCAAAGAATAGTTTTCTCACATGATTATATCATTTGAAGTTTCTTTGATAAGCAACTATTTAAGAAATATAAAGAATAAGAGAGTTAACTTGTACTATAAAAATCATATCATATCTTGTACTATAAAAATCATACTACCTTCTCAGAGACCTTCCGAACATAGGTAAGAGCAAGCTGTCCTGAATTTGCAAGTTGTGCTGTGGCAACCTGGTAATGCATTCAGCTTTTACTCTTAATCTCTCATTAAATGACACCGAAATCAATCAAGAAGGAAAAGCAGTGAGCAGCTTCTGATATTGCAGTGAAAGTGTTTCTAATGAAACTTCAACACCTCAAAAATTTTCTTTTTCAAGTGTTAAACAATACCAGTAAATTGTATCATAGTCTTTCATACCCTTAAAACATGTGTAGCCACTTTTTATGAAATTGGACATGGATGGGGGGGCTGCAATTATCTCATTATATATTCATGCATTTCTTGCAGGAACTTTTTTTTTTAGTAAATCTTGCAAGAGAACTTAAGCCTCAGTTTATTGAAAAAAAAAAGTTAAAGCACAACTATCAAAACAAAAAAAACGTAAAGCATATGCGATGAACAGCAAACAAGTTTTAGGCCTCGTTTGGATGGCCTTTTTTGGCCAAAAGCAGTAAAACTCCCCTAAAGTTGCTCTGTATTAGGTAGTGTGCCAGCTTGGGACACTACTATTCAAGGGTACAATACAGGGAACGAATCCCATGTATCCGCAATCGCTGCCAATAGCAAAGTAGCGACAAAAGAATCAAGAACCTCTTCACCGCTACTGGCCAAAAAACTGGATACTGTTGGTGGTGATTATGACCATTTCTCAATGCATATTTTCAATATTGCCGATTAAGGCAAGATAAGCCTGGGATGTTGCTACCAGGGCATCCAAATGGGGCCTTAGTGTAACGACTAAATGATACAGCTATATGCTGTCGACTGAGCAATAACATACAAAATCTATGAACATATGAAGAGTTTTGTTGAAAGTCAATGAACGCCACACTCAGACAATAAGAAACTTTTTGTGGGAAGTGCACAATTGTGCAGATGTTACATCAATGTAACAACCAAAAGGTAGACGGATGAGAAAACCTCACGAACAACATAAAATCATTAAGACCATAACGGTTATTCAACAAGGAAAACATTTTAGAAACAAAGGGAGTCATCATTCCTTCAAACAATATGTCATCCTCGTTTCTTTCAACAGCACAAATGCTAGTATCTTTTGTTGAGAAGTTCTCTTGAATTCATACAAGCTTCTTAACAAGACCTAGTAATGACACATAGGAGTACTGCGATGAAATATACTAAACAAACAAAAAAGGTAACTTAGTATATACAAGTACAGAGAGGTAAAAATGAACCAAATAATAAAGATTTGATGCCAGGAATGGATGACGAGAAATGAACGACTGACCATCTTATCTGAATTGTATCGAGCAGCAACTCCAAAGGCAGACCTCCTTTGATGGCCAAGCCAAATCACTTCACCACCAAGAGCCAGATTAGGAGTGATGCTCTGTGAAAAATATATGAAGAAAAAAGCTATATAAGATCCAAAAGAAAGGGACAGGCTTCAATTTCCAGTGTAGTTCTTATTTTCTTAATAATATTTAAAATCCAGTCACAGCTGATCGGAACAGAAATAGAAAATATTACAGCCATCTGCCATTAGCAATGCTCTGCTAAAAGTACAAGCATTTTAAGGGTTTGATATATTTACATATCTAGAATCAAGATACACAACTGAACTAATATATTTAACAATAGAGAACCTTGGCAAAATAAGCAATAATTTTATAGCATGGCAGTGGTGAACATATGAAGCTGCTGTGCTTCTCTGGTCCCAAATGTATCTTGGATATCCTCTAGCCATTAGTTATTATTAAAAAAAAAATCCTCAGAAGGATATATAAATAACACTCAAAAGGAAGTGATCTAATTTATTAAAAAAAATTCCTCAGAAGGATATATAAATAACACTCAAAAGCAGGTGATCTATACCAGTAAACTCCTTCCAGAACACAAAACTTCCAATAAGCTACAAACGCATTAACAAGTATCTGTTAAAAACAATTTTTCCAATAAAATGCAGGACTCATAGCAGGCTCGGATGAGAAGGTGCTTCACATGTAACATTTTTCTTTCTCTACAAGGGATGAGATAAATGATATCAACGATACATGAAATGTTGGGAGTGTGAAGGTAACGGTATCACCAGGACTCGCATAGAATTCCTTTTCTTTCTTTTTTGCTTGGTACATAAATGCTTTCTTCCTTTTTTTCATTGCACATCTTGCACCGTCCATATAAAACACTTAAAGATATCACGTGAATATATTGATTATCGGAAGCTTCAACAGATAGATCTCCAGTAACCATACACCCATTTCAAAATCTCCTCGTAATTCACTATCGGTAAAATATAACTTTCTCTTATTGCCTCACTTCCACATTCTCCAATTCTCATGCAAATCTATAAGCATGATGAGATGATTACCACGTCCATACAATGCATATGTTACGATCTAGATTCCCAAAGGTTTGGGGTCGAGATCCCAACCTTTTAGGTATCTTGATCCCGACCTTTTGGGATCTTGCTTACAACCTTAAAAAGTATGTATAGTCTAGCACTAAATGTATAGTCTAGGACCACATATACTCTCTTTTTAAGCGGAAAAAAAAAGAGTATACATACTTTTAGTGCTAGACTATACATACTACTTTTAAGGTTGACCAAACAAGAAAAGGTCGGTGGCAAAGATTTTTCTAATGCCAAAACAGCCCCTAGCCCAAGAAAATTTTGGTAGAATTTCCCCTTGTAAATGGGATTGCTGAACGTGAAAAAGGAACCTAAAACAAAGCCGAGGAACTCCAAAGGGACTCCATGAATGGAGTGTGAGGGGATAAGCCCAGCCAATCACTGTCTAGGAAGAACCTCCTTTTAAAAAAGAAGAGATTCCAAAAGCCCCCCAAAAGAAAAAAATCAAAGAAAAAAAAGTGGAAAAAAATACAAATATGAAAGACAAATAAGGGAGCAACTCACCATGATCGAGCTTCGGTGAAGAAACCGGCATGTATAGCATATGAAGTGGATGTGCCACCCTTGGAAGCTCAAGCCTCTCTTAGAAGTTAGAGAGAGAAAGCAAAAACCCACTTGAAGAGAGAGGTTTCAGGTTAGAAAGTGAAAAATAAAAGTTACAAGATTAACAAGCTTGTACAGATTGGATGTGCAAACTGCGAAGAACTATGCTTGAAAGGGAAGCATGATACATGAGGCACCACATATAAGAGCAGTTCCCAAAACTATTTGCCATGGACCAAGATGTGGTCGTGACAGAAGCCATTCAACTTCGTGGTAATAGTATGGTATGGAGTCCATATTTCAAAAGGGAATTAAAGGAGAAAATAAGTGAGTTCATTGCGCTATACTACCTTTCACAATGTTACAGTGGGTAGACTACAGACCCACAAGGGGAATTCTGAGTAATCCACGCCCCACCCAAAATGATTGCCTTCGGCTGGCTAGTTCTCCTAGATAAGGTCATAACCATCAACCACTTAATACTTTGAGGAACACCTAACCCAAATCAAAGTATTATGTGTTAGGGTTTGTGGCCTTTAAAGGCTGTGAGATCATGTAATTAATATTTATAGTGGATTATACAATTCAATGGGAGTGCGTGATGTTTGACTGACCAAGGGTTAAAAAGTCCATGGCCCTAATCATGTCCAAAACCCTTACCCCTAGGTATGTAGCACTACCGAAAAGAGTTTATAGAGGGTCATCGCTTGTTGAGCTCGAAGAGATGCTCAAGGAAGGATTGCAGGCCAGCAGAGTTGTGTGGCCTCTTGTGTATGGATGTAGGACTATGTGAACAAAGGTTAAATCCTCAACAAACTTATGATAGCCACACTACCGGGAAGCAGCCATGAGAAATGATACATGTACATGTGCATAGAGAACCCCCCTTTGCACTATAGTGATATGTGCTTAGCTTGCTCTTAAATGAGGAGAACTGTAATCCACATTCTGGGATCATGGTTCTACTGTTTATTGGTCAGTTTTGACAAACCAGTCATGAGCCCCTGCATGAGAATGTGGGTCATGTGCCACACCCCATGAGTGGGGCGTGGTGCCCATGAGGCCCACATATCACCCACAGGGTTGGCACGGCCCTCTACTTTCTTGGTTTAGAACTTTTATTCTAATTAAAGTATGTTTTCAAGGTAGTTAAATAACCTTTCATGATAAAAGATTATGTGTCCCTATTTTGTGGGAGTTATTTTAATATATATTTGACCAAGATATTTTATTTTGACTTCCTACAATTTTAAAGCAATAAATAAGTTCTAGAAGGTTTTTAGATTGATCTAATCCTAAATGAGTCTAGAAGTGCATATGGTTCAAATATAAAGGGGATAAATTTCCTAATATTCCTTTCTAAATCGTGATGGCTGATTTATGAGAGGGATGGCTCAGATTTAATCCTCTCACCCCATAGATTTCCCAAATTCTTATTGGTCAAGGCGAGTCATAATTGAATAGGCATACCTAGAGGGCTTGAGGCTAAGGAAGGACCTTCCCCCAAACACACACCCCCCCCAAAAAACAAAAAAATAAACTACACAATTCTCTCTCTCTCTCTCTCTCTGTGAAAGGCCTAACCCTAATTAGGCTTTAAACAGAGAGGGACAAGCCTAGCCCTAAAAAAGGGAGTTGCCTTTGAGGCATGCCCTAATTTGTTCCAAAGGGGTTCTACAAACCACAAATGTCTTTATGCTCTATGAAACCCGAGTTTAAGAGGTATTGCCCAAGGAAGCTTCCTAGCTCTGAAAATTCAGCAAGACCAATAGGATCAAAGAGCTCCATCAGTTAAGAAATAGGGTGCAAGGTGTACTAAGTCCTATGGGGTTGACCCTGGGCATAATCTAATAAGTATTCCCAGCTATTTAGTTGTATTTTTTAGTCATATTCGCATGTTCATTCTGAATTTCCGACAACATTATTTGTACCTAAATTGTTAGTAGAAGCATGTTTTTTATTCCTGAATCGTGTTTATAAAAGGAAAGGTTTCAATTTGTATTTAGGGTTTTAATTTTTATTTACAACAGTGTATTGTAACACTTGTAAGTGGAATTCAGATTCAATAATAAAGAAACTAAGGAAAAAAAATGGATTTGATAGTCTTGAACTCCACAGCAACATCTTTCATTATGTGCAAAGAGAACACAGACTCTGTGCAACATTTTCTCCTCCACTTTCCTGTCATAGTCGAGCTGTGGGCAGCAATATTGGACCTTTTCCACACGAAATAGATGACAAACGAATCAATTGCTGACCTGGTAATACAATGGTTAATCCACAGCTACCAAAACTCGGCCATGTACTTTGGAGATTAAGCCTAATTGCCTTGATATGAGAGGTTTGGATAGCACACAATAGAAGGCTTTTTAAAGGCAAACAGAAAACTGCTACAAGGCTAAAAAGGGAAGATTAGGGGTAGGACCATCCCTTGGGCATTGGCAAAGAAGAGTTCTGGGGCAGCTCCACTGCTGATTTGGAGTTACAGTGGCAGCTTACATTAAGATAACATACAATAGGGACTCGAGACCTAAAATTTGGACACCACCTATAAAATTTAACTTTGATGGCAGTGTTAAGGGTAAACAGGGTCCCAATGGTGCCGATGGTGATTTCAGGGACCATCTTGGAAGAGCTCTAAAAACATTCTCATGACCCCTCTCACCTTGTAAGCCCATTGAAACCAATTGGAAAAATATATTCCTATTGACAGGGATTCACTTAACATAATTACATGGGTCACCCATCATAAGGATTATTCATGGAGGCCCACTAAGTATTCAAATAAATGTTTGACATTATCAACAACCACAAAGCCAAAGCCTCATTTTAGCACTCATGGTAAGAGGCTGACGAGGTTGCTGATTCCTTGCTAAAGAGGGCGAATATAAAGCTGTTTTAATCGTTTCCAATTACTTCTAGAAACCCATTGTCTAGGGCTCAATCCTTGTACATGATACATCCACTTTTGACTTCAATAAAATTAACCATTAAAAAAAAAAAGTGGGAGTAGTTTCTTCATTTCACTCAGGCCACTGAAATCAAGCCAAATGATGTAAAAACTGCCACTAGCTTTGGGTACCAAACTTAAAAAAAGAAATTTTAATGAAAAAAGACTTCAGTTTTTGAAGCCGGGACAATTAGGGGTACTTACATCACTTGGTTCAGGCCACGTAAGTGGTGTCAAATTACCACATACGCCTGCATGTTAAGGACACTATTCCAAGAACACTGCCAATTTGGGTCTTTTTTAATAAAATAATTAAGGAGGTATTTTGAGTGAAATATGCCCTTTTTAAAAAATAGCTTGATAAATTGGTTGGTTTGAATGTGACCTTGAGATGGTATGAACATTCAATCATATTCCCCAACACCACCCCCCACCCTGTGGGGCCGCTTTTTAAAAAAAAAAAAATGAGTTAGGAGTTAGGTGTTGAACATTCAATTAGTGTCAAGGTAAGGTTGGGATGACATCTGATGTGGGAAGAGGGTGCCTTATAGCTGTGCCTTGCAGAAGTAGGAATTAGAGTTCAAGGCTACAGGTATAGCTTCGATTGCATATGAGTGTGTTTGCGCATTTGCGTGCATGGGGGAGGCTTTTATGTGGTTTGCAAGCAAACCTTGTTTCAAAAGGGATCACGGGAATAAGGAGTCCTCTGAGTTTAGTTGTTTGTTGGGTGAGCTAGAATGTGTCTTACTCAAGTAGTTGATATTGTTGATACTCTAGATGTGGCATAGAGGCCCTTACACGGTAGAAATGTTCTTTCATGTTCTATGGGGTGGCTGTGATTCTCTTTCTAGTTGTTTGGTTTGGTATGCTGGCCTTGGGATACATTGTAACCCTGACCTGCAGTTGCCTTGTACCTCCTGACATACATGGATATGCTACACAACACATTTTATATTGTATTCAATTTATAAACAAATAGATTATGTTCCACGTAAGTTGAAAAAAAATTTAATATGTAAAAGATGTGTCATATATTAAACATACACTACGAGTAAGTAAGAAATATACAAATAGCAACTCCACAGATGTCTCTTTGGCACACGTGGAGGACCAATCATCAGGTGAATTTAAAATGCTTATGAGCAATAGAATTGGCACTTTGCAAGGTATACGGGCAAATATCGAGTTCAATCTCTACAATATTTGATCATTGAGTGATTGGTGTAATGGATCAAACTTCAAATGTACCATGCCATGCATTAAAACACAAGTGTATAAGATTTCATCAAGAGTTAACGAATTTGTTTCATGAAAAACATGCACGCGCATGCGCACACAGTCATATGTATATATTCAAATGGTTGGGATAAGGCTCGGATGACGATGATGACGATGATATGTACATCTACGAGGCACGGGCTCATTTTGTAGCTATAGGCGCATTAGCCGGATTTTCTTGCTCCAAAAACTCACAAATAATCTTTATTCATCTCTAAGAACAATGTAAAAAAATAAAAGATTTGGATCTCAATAAAATTGTCCATCTGAATTCCTACTCAAAATATGATTCTGGACATCCATGTGTTAAGCAATGAGACCTAGGGTTTTAAGAGCTCAAAATCAGTTTTCTTTTTTTCCAATCGATCACAATGAGACCTAGCTAGTTTTTGACATTCAGACTATTGTAGCTATAGGCCATATGGCCTATTAAATCTTTCTCCTTTATCTTATACCCAACCAAAAGGAACTTCTAGTCACAACTGGTCGAGAAAGTTGAAAACAGAAAGTCGAACTAGTAGAGCTCAGATTTACTACTGAAATATCCATCCAGAACCAAACTAGCAACCAAGGTATAGATCAACATGCTAAGACCAGAACCATAATAAATTCAAATTACCTGGATATAGTTTGCACTATAGATGGCATTGTTTCCAATCGAGAATTGAGTCCTATAATCTGAACCCTGCACACAAAACCAGGTAACCAGCATGGTAGCAATGATAATCTAACAAACTCTCTGAAGCAATAGTCATGCAACCAATTATAAAAATACACTTTCAGTGGTTCTGCATGAGGTCATATCATATGGTTAAATGCATGACTAACTACATCCAAGTAAAAAAACTAGAATTATGATGGAAACATCATGCAGAAACACTCACATGAATGACAATGGCTTGCCAGAGATATGTTATCTAAGCGAGCCATAGCGATTCTTGTAATTATAGATGTGCAACAGCAGCGAAGCATGAACAAGTAGATAAAGAGTGAATCTACTATGCGGTGTCTATTCTGTCCAGACTCCAAATATTTGAATCTACACAGAGAGATCCAGACCCGGATAAATGCAGCATGTTCAGATTCAAACCCAATGTGACCATCGACTCTTAATGAAGCTATATGAGGTATTTCCTAGGACATACAGAAGCATGATTCATTGCTCTCCTTTTTTCTTTTTCTTTTTTGATAATTGAATAATAATTGATCACGAAGAAAAGCAGCACATTGCTAATCCAAAGTTGAAATAACTCCAACACATGGACACTAATTGTAGCTGACCGAGTTTGGGTTGACATATCAATACACTGAATTAAGCAAAACTCACACTTCAGTTCGATTTCATAGGATACCATGGGCTTAACCCATCTTCAAACAGGGTATCCTAATCTGCAGAAGTAATAAAAGTAATACAGGCTTTAAACAGACAAGTTTATAAAAAGATTGATCATTTTCTCCCAGGACTTAAAAAGCTTCTACCACAAACAAATCCTAACTATTCCATTATTAAATCCCAAATAGAGGATTTACTCCAGTATGGGATTTTTGTCAACCCTACATGGTTACTACAAAAACTGAAATGCCGACACGTCATCAGTAACATCAGTCCTGCATTAAAAAGTCCATTCCGGAAGTGGCGTACACGATTATCCAAACATAAAGAATGGTTATGTGCCTCAAGATTAAAGAAATTAAACAGAGATGAATTAGTAAAGAGCCCAAGGTAAGTACCTCTATATCTAATACAGGTGTTCTTCTGTTTGCACTAATGCATATTCACCATGGGTGTGCTTAACCATGATGCAATATATCCCATAAGGATTACGTAGTTGAGCTGCTTGGGCATGATTAAGCTAGAGCAGTTTCAGGACAGGTGACCTCTGGGAAATCATTAGGATCACCTACCTCTGCCAATGGAAAAAGGTAAACCACTAAAAGCCTGTAGACAGGCTCCAATTTCAAAAACCCACTCAAACCCCATCATGTTAATAAAGTTATTGACCAACCAGACCTACTCTCAACGAACCGCAAGATAAAACTTAGATAGCCCAAGACACCAAAGTCCACAAATGTACAATTGTATGTGTTCTTCCCAGTCCCATGTAATAAAAATACACACAACATTGAATAGCCATGTTTCTGGTATCATCTTGTGTTGCTTTCAACAAGATCCTGCTAAATGGTTCAACCCCGATAATAAAGAGGATAGGGGCAAAGGATCCCCTTGTTTCAGTCAACTAAAGCTCTGCAAAAAGATTGTGGAAATGGCCTAACCGGAAAGGAATATAATATAAAATGGCAACACGAAGGTCCAAATCCTCCTATCCACCAAGTCACAAACCGTGTCCTCTTCACCATGTGTGCTGTGAGCGAGTGACATCGCGACAAACTTCGATAAATCTATTTGGCAAACCACTTCAAAAGCCGCATCCCACCGTAGCTTCACATCTCCAGTACGATACATGATGGTAGTTGGCACCATGGCATCCTCCTCAAATCGAAAACCACTTCGAAAGCCACATCACCACCGTAACTTCACACCTCCAGTGAGATACATGATGGAGTTGGCACCATGGCATCCTCCCCAAATCGAAATATTTTTCACTTGAGAATAGATGCACATGAGTTAGGTTGGAAGAGCAGAGCACTCAATGCATAAAGGCACTCGGAGCAGACAACAAACAATGGCTAACAGCAAGATGTTGGCAGGATCATTTTTCTTTGCAATGAATGATCACATCAAAGAGAGAAAGAAGACAAAAGTGCATGAAATCAAAATACCAAAGAAACAAGAAAACAAAGGTCTCATGCTTTCATCCATCACATAAATAATTATGCACCATAGCCTTTTTTATTTCGAAATATTGACAGTATATATACTACTATGAGTATTGATTATGCATTATCGCCTTTAATTGCCCCATTTGCTAAATAATATAACATATAATATCAAAATATTATACTTGTAGCAATTAATAGTGTACATTACAGATATTTTAGTTATACACAATGTTGGTATATTTAACATTATAAAGATATATACAATAAAACTTATCCTTTTAAAATGTTCGATAACTACAAACAATTGAAGACATGATAAAGACCAAATTTTGAAACGCATATGGTTTTTTTTTTTTTTGATAACTGTTAACTTTTGTATTGATATGAAAAGATAACTTTGAAATGCATATGTTTCAATTATAATCATATATGATAAAATGTTTAAGTAAATAATGAAGCAATTCTAAATGTAGCTACCATTGAAACGTCAATAATTGAGATACCTTTTTGAAGAAGAAGAAGAAGAATATGATGATGATGATGATTGAAATGTTTATATTTCCATTACCATTCTATAAATAACATCTTTATGCATTAATGAAACATTTCTAAACACGCATGCACATGTCATTATCATCATCATCATCATCAAAGCCTTTTCCCAACAAATTGGGGTCAGTTACACAAATTCTAGTCGACCATTCTGCTCTATCAAGGGTCATATTCTCAACGAAGCCACAAGTCTCCATATCTTTTCTCACTACATTCAACCATGTCCTTTTGGGCCTACCCATTGCTCTTTTTGAGCCTTCCACTTGAACTAACTCGCCATGTGCTCATAAATTAGGATATTACTTTCACATGCAACGGTTTTTCATGAGCAAGCATTGGAAGCTTGGGGAAGAAATATAGTTCACCTTAAGTAGTTTGTAGAATAAATCTGGCTAATGACCATACAATTTTTTGTATTAAGGATAAGCTGAAATAATAGATATTGACTTGAACTTCAAGCAAAATCAATTTAGAAGAGACATGAGAATGCATCATTTATCTTTTCTTTTGTTTGATAAGATGAATTATTATCATATGCCCACAAATATTGATTCGATCATGAGTAACATGGCACTTGCTTTAATCGTATAAAATATGTCATAAAGTATGATCACATTTCATTAGAAAATAAGTTTTCTGCTTGCCCAGTCGACAAGCTGTAAAATTTTTAATGAGAGGTACTCAGTATTCTATAAATTACTGAACAGGCAGTACAAATGCAGGATATAATATAAAACATTAAAATTTGGTTCAAACTTCGTCAACAAATCAACCTCATTAAACATAAAATATTGAAGACTGCGCCTTCAGAAAACAACAACAGTATTATACCTGTCCAACAATCTAAGTCATAGCTCATTCAAAACACTGTTAAATAAGGTTAAAGGGGATACCTTGTAATCAAGTTGCAACATTCCTTGGGAATAATGTGGTTCATGTGTCAACTGTAAAATTATAAAGCAAAAGTTACTAGGTAAAAAGACATAGGATGCATATCTTGCTTTTTCCAGCATCTATATAGTAATACCATGCATGATCTAATTCATTAATTTCATCAAGAAATCATCATCTTCAATTAAAACAACTTACGCTAACGATGATTGTGCATTAAATATTTTGAATCACATTCAGAAGACAAATGCAAAACTCGAATGTATCAAAAGCCAACTACCTGGCCATTTATCTTCAAAATTAAATTATCAGTCAAGTCACACTTGACCCTCCCCATCACCCTGCCTTCATGTGATACCCTCCCGACAAGCATCAACTTCAAAATATCAGAAAAGAAGTATTTTTATCAGACAAATATATCTTTGGTAAAAATGTGTACGGGCACAGAGAGAGAGAAAAACATAAAAAAGAAGGGGGAGAAGAGAGAAATTGAAAGTTAAACATCTTGATCAACCATTGACGACTAACCTTCGGGTCTAGGAAATTAGCTCCAAACTCATAATTGGCATTGGGTACCTTGATAACATCTGGGGTGTTTGGAACTTCCACACTCCCCATGAAAACACTAAGAAATGATCCCCAAGGTACCATTAAATGTTGAAGGAAAAACAATAAAAAATTACACATATATTCAGCAATAATGAAAATAAAACAAGCACATGCCCATGGCAATTTGAAAATAAAGATCTACCTGTGGGTTATTGAAAATTTTGGGCTCAGAGGCTTGTTAAAATCAAAACGCATCCCCTCAAAAAGCTCTGGCTTCAAGGAAACTGCATTAAACATATAACAAGACAATTAAGAATATGGAGAATAACTTTCTTTGTAGTACCTAAAGCTTTTTTTTTTTTTCTCTGAAACAGTACCTAACAGCTCCATCTCCACAAAACCAAGAATGGAGTCATATAGAGCACAGGTTTGCATATGGCACCCAATAGCTCCATCTCCATAAAACCCAAAAGTGAAATTCTTCCTTAAATTTGATCTTGCAACTCAATGATGAGAAGCACAAAATACCACCTCTGAATTCAGGGTGAACCAATCACGTACGTGTTATATTGAGAGCCACTGAAGTCATAAAATGAAAAAAAATCCAGTGCTTTCCTTTATAATGTAAGAACTTGAAAAAATAAATAAAAAATAAAAAGGCGGCAGTGACATAGCAGAAGTGAAAAGGGGGACTCTAACTCTCGTTGTGGATCTTCATTGATGGTCGTCATCTATTAAAGAAGAAACAAGCAATTTTGGTTATCAGCGTTTGGGTTAAGGTGCTAGTGTACTCTATGCATATTTATTGAATAAGTGCATTGTCTTATTCAATAAGGGTTATGGAATTTCCTCCTCTCTCTCTCTCTCTCTCTCTCTCTCTCTCTCTCTCTACTAACTACTACGTAACGTAACGAACGAACGAACGAACGAACGAACGTAACGAACTACTAACGTAACTAACTAACGAACGTAACTAACGTAACCTAACCTAACCGTA